TACCAACGACTCCACCCCTGCGCTTTGAAGATGAAAAAAACGGAGTTTCTAAAATAGCAGTGCATTATGCGAACTGAGCTCAAGAACAGAACCCACCTTGGAAAGTTTTAGCTCAATAATGCCTAACATCAAAGACAGGTTTCACCCTGACAGCACATCAGAAGTTCTGCCCAATTAATTTTTCAAATACCCCTTCAGTAATGTGTCCATTTTATTCTTTAGCAGGAAAACAAACAAACAAACAAACCCAAGAGTGATCTCAGGCAAAGTGTCTTTCCTTTATCTCCTAAAACAGAATCAAAATTAAACATATACGGAGGCACTCTTCCTGTCATCTACATTTGTGGTTAGAACATTTGGCCAAGACCTTCTGTAACATCCTTAGTCAAAGACACTGAGTAGCAGTAGACATGCGTTCTCGGATGTTTTGGGTTTTTTCGTAACTGATGGGCTTACTAAGGATCATAGATACATGAAGTAGCAGGTGATCGAAACATAAAAATTTAAAACATTCAAATTTAGGAGGTGGGTAAGCAATGCAAATGTCATAAACAACGATGCCCTAAACACTAACTCTAATAACTGTCACCAAAACGGAACCCAAGAGCTGAGATGCCCTTTTTGGGCAGATGACAGGAATCCTGAGTGTCTATAATAGTCAGTAATAATACCACCTATGAGAGGAAGAACTGGGTGTCCTAGAACCCCACCTCCCGAAAAGGCGGGATGCAGATGACTCTAAGGAAAAGCCATCATCACACCACTTGTTTGTTACCATGCAGAAGAACCTTGAACAAAATTGATGCTCCCTCGGACAGCATCTGGCAACAAGCCATATGTAGGAATGTGCTTTTTGAGCACTTTTTCTGAGGTTGAATCTAGAGGATATCTTTATTCTTCTGGAATATGTGAATTGGATATATTTCCAATAGTAAGGAAACCTCCATAATTAAGTATGTGGAATTTAAGGACACTCCATCTACTCATTCAATTCTTGATGATAAATGATTATATTTTTCACAATACAGAATGGAAAAAACTTATTAAATTAAAACAAAAATGAGGAATTACTGAGGCAAGATTAAGACCAACCTATTAGTTATTTTCTTTTCATAAAACTGTGTTTAGTGATTGTCATCCTACCTATTTCAATAAGGAAGAAGTCCAACACCACTCATGAACATGAAAAGTCACTGTGGGCCAGCCTTCCAAGGTGGCCTTAGGTTAACTGAAGCCAAGTGGGAAACTAGCAAAAAAAAAAAAAATATATTCCTATTTCTTTCCTGTATTTAGTCAAATCCTGCCTGAGTACTGAAGACATTTCGTTCAAAATGAATAAGGCATCTGACATGAGTCACATTCACTCCATCTAAAAGGTGAGTTATTTGGATCTTCATGTCCGTCTGTAAGAGATGAGCTGCCAAAAATTGTGTGACAGTGTTGGAGAATAAATACTATACCTACAAAAGTCTTACTCTTGGCTCCATAGCTTTGACCAAGTGGTTCTTGCTTGGGAGCTATTCTCTGGGCCAACATCATCCCAGAAGGATGCTGTTCTGGGGTCTTGTTTGGAACCGTCATTAGTGGAGAAAAGCCAGCAAGTGAGTGGCATCAGGAGAAACATCTCTCTCATTCAGGTCCAGCAGCAAAATTCAAGGGACCTCTGAAGGGGGAATGGTGACTGCTAGTTATCAAGAGAGAGAATTCTTCAAGAAGACCTGGGTCACACCTTAGAAAAGAAGCTCAATCTGAGGGTCAGTATTGTTTCTGTCAGAAAATTTTGTAGAACTTCAGGATAAGATGCCTTCAGATTTTATTCTGCACATTTTTAGAAGTTGAGCAATGTTTTCTTTTTTTTGAGATTTTATTTATTTATTCATGAGAGACAGAGAGAGAGAGAAAGAGAGAGAGAGAGAGAGAGAGAGAGAGAGAGAGAGAGGCAGAGACACAGGCAGAAGGAGAGGCAAGCTCCATGCAGGGAGTCTGATGTGGGACTTGATCCTGCGACTCCCAGGACTCCTGGGCCAAAGGCAGGTGCTAAACCGCTGAGCCACCCAGGGATCCTGAGAAGTTGAGTAATGAAAGGAACAGGAGCCGAAGTGAGAGTGGTGAATGAAGAGTTAGGTTCTGGGTATTCAGGGATGGGATTCTCTCGAAAATCTTTTTTTTTTTTAATTTAAAAAAAAAATTTTTTTTTAAATTTATTTATGACAGTCACAGAGAGAGAGAGAGAGAGAGGCAGAGACACAGGCAGAGGGAGAAGCAGGCTCCATGCCCCGGGAGCCCGACGTGGGATTCGATCCCGGGTCTCCAGGATCACGCCCCGGGCCAAAGACAGGCGCCAAACCACTGCGCCACCCAGGGATCCCTCTCGAAAATCTTCTAGGCTCCATGGCATTTTCTCTGGACCCACCCAGTGACACACCTCCCTTTCTCCTGTTTTCTGTAATGATGTAGCCATGGCTATAAAAAAGCTGAATTTTCAAAACTCAAAGACAATTAAGATTATAAGGTAGGAGATAAATACCATTTGACTTCACTTAGATGTGGAATCTGCAAAACCAACCAACCAACCAAAGAAACAAACAAAACCAGAAACAGACCCATAAATACAGAGAATAAACTGATGGTTGCCAGAGGGAAAAGGTGTGAGGGATGAACAAAATGGGTAAAGGTGAGTGGGACGTACAGACTTCCAATTATAAAATTAATAAGTCACAGGAACGAGGGGTAGAAATATAGCCAGGGATATTGTAATAGTGTTTAGGGTGACAGATGGCAGCTACTCTTGTGGTGAGCAGAGCATAACTTATAAACTTGTCAAATCACTGTACTGTACACCTGAAACTAATGTAATGCTAATCAACTATACCCCAGTTCAAAAACATATATGGTGGACTTTCTGCCCATGTTATGTGGAAAAGAGACTGCATCTTATCTTCAGCTTTCTGATGGCCTTGAAAGTGTACAAGGAAGAGGGGTGAATATTCAAACCTATATCAGATCCACACATGCAGATCAAAGACCAGGAACAGGAGAAGAGAAAGACAACCATCCATCCTTCATTTGAGGTTTTTGAGGTTGTTGTCTACTTTGAGAACCTGGTGAAAACTACTGACCTTCTCTAGGAAAAAAAAAAATCGATATGCATGTGAATGAACAGACAACCTTTATATAAAATCCCACAAGGTTCTCTGAAGTCCTAACATCACAGACAACCTGATTGCCCACAGAGTCAAGAACTGAAGACTTTATCTTGATGACAACTTATGGAAAGTTTTATGTGGATGTCAAGTAAATTAATAGCCTGTGTCTGATTAATTTTGGCTCAAATTCAAAGGGAGATGATACCAATTTATTTCCTTCCTTCTCTCCTCCTTCCTCCCCTCTTTCCTTCCTTCCTCCTTCCCCTTTCATTCTCTCTCTCTCTCTCTCTCCTTCTTGCTCTGTCTTCCCACAAGAGAGGAGCTGGAGAAATGGTTTCTGCATTCAATCAGTGAATAACAAAGATGATTAGTAAATCCATTTACATTCTACAAATCACTTTCTTACATATAATGACTATTGCCTATTGCTGATGTATCTTGTGCTTCTCCCTTATCCAAAATCCTCATAGCAAACGTGCTTAAGGGGTATCTGTTACTACTAATTTACTAATGAGGAGCTACCTGATGGCTGGGAAAGAATCTATTTAATAGCAATAAGACAAAAGCCCATGTCTCGTAGCCTTCACTGAGATGTTCTTCTCACAAGGCTGGGCAGCACAGGAAATAATCATCCAGTTCTTAAAGCATCCAGTTCTTAGGGGAGTAATTTGTTCAACTGTCTCTTGATATCCTATCACTTAGGACAGTACGGCTAATGCATAGTTATATGAATATGTGAGCTAGAACTAATTTGATAAACTCTCATGTTGAGCATCTCAACATGGTACCCTGTTTTTTTTTTAATTTTTATTTATTTATGATAGTCACAGAGAGAGAGAGAGGCAGAGACACAGGCAGAGGGAGAAGCAGGCTCCATGCACTGGGAGCCCGACGTGGGATTCGATCCCGGGTCTCCAGGATCGCGCCCTGGGCCAAAGGCAGGCGCCAAACCGCTGCGCCACCCAGGGATCCCTTGGTACCCTGTTTTGGGGCTGGTTCATAAAATCTAATACATGAAGGAGCCTTTCATATTTCTTGATGTTTATGGTAGCATTTTATCCTTAAACCTTGAAAATTAACCCTGCTGCAACTGAAGTCATCCAGTGACAAGGACACGCATAACACTTTTTGTACTGAGATAATGTAGAGCAACAACTCTGATTATCACATCATCATGGCAAAGTGTCTTATTCTCACTTGTCTACTCACCATTTATTTTTTTCAAAAATAATTTGCTCTTATTCTTTATATCTTATTTTTGTCTAACTTATGTAAAGCTTGTAAGTATCCAGAAATTGAAGGCTGATATTAGTGTTTGGCCCAGTCTGAGTCATTTGCTGAAAGAAGCAAACATTGTTAAGGGGGACTATAAGATAAAAGTGTATTGAACCTTTATTGTGCATCTCTAACGCACACATGAATACCTTAGGTAGACAGTTCTTTATGATCTTGATTATTTAAGATAAAGTAATGTAAAACTTCTCAGGAAAATAGTCTAATGTGAAGAAGATGCATAATTTTACTGGCCTTGTCACATCATCTGTTCTTATGTAACACAAAGATGCACGCAGCATTCTCTAAGTCAGATTTAAGCATATCTCATGATTGCTATAACATTTTCCCCTCAGAATTACTCCTTTGCAAAATTAATGCTTATGGGTCACAGGCACTCTAGACATAATGTGACCTTTCCTAACCACGTTCTTTCAGGGCATCTCTGAGGAAAGCAAGGAAACCTGCCAGGCACATCTTCAAGGTTACATCCATAGAAGGAAACAACAAAGCAAAGCAACGTCACCTAGGGAAGCAAACCGCCAGGAGAGGCTGTGTGGCAGACCCTGCCCTGCACTGTACCTGTACAGATGAAACTTGAGAGTCCCCCGTAGATGACTTCATCATTGTCGGGCAATATAAACGGACACCTCGTCTGAACCTCCAAACAGTATTGCTTGCAAGGAATTGTCTTTCTGCAGTTAAACTGAGCGACTTCAAAGTACTGGGAACAGAGCCAGGCTTTGTAGACAATCTGAAAAAGAGAAGAATCAAAAATCGGGAGGGATGACAAGAGTTCTGTCTCTGATACAGGACATGCTGTACTGTGAGAAGCATGCTGTGGTGCCAAGTGGATCATAAGGAAACTCTCATTTCCAGAAAGCTGTTTTACACAATGCCAGCTGCAAGTGATAACAACGTAGCAACGAAAGTCTGCAATAGGGCAAAACGTTATGGAGTGAGCTTCTCAGAGAATGCAAAAGGTAACGTGGCTTTGGAGTTGATGGAACTCGCTTGAAAAACAGTGGAGTTCATCAGAACCGGAAGCTTCAAAACCCAGTGATACAGAAAGCAAATAACCAGTGTGTGGTCTGTAGGCACTGACTGCAGGGTGCCCGGCGGCCACTCAGTCCTGAATAGGAAATCCCTCTAGCTGGGCTTCCAGGGGACACTAGATGGCGCTGAGTCCTCTGCCAACGGGGCCAACAGGCGGCGCAGACAAAGCCTGCCAGCACCAGCTTCAGCTCCAGAGCCCTAGAACAAGTAGCAGTGGGCATTTACATTTATGACTCACATCAAGTGCATTAAAAACCTCATCGTCCCAAAGCCCGGAAACAAGCAGCCTGGTGCAGACCTAACATGCCTCGATGTGTTTCGGAGTGAAACCTCTTCAAAACCACAATTTGGACCTTTGAGATAGCGTAAGATCCACATGAATATGGGTTAAGGATTTAGTTAATTTGATAAAATGTGAAATGCTTATGACTTCATTTATCTCTTTGTTTTTAATAGATATTTAGGAAAATAAATATGGAACCAATACCTTTTTCTACCATAAGGAATCAAGCTGCACCTAAATCCAAATAAAACAAGGACAAAAATACCCATGTACAGTACGGATCACTATGACTCAGGTCGTTCCCAGATTCCAGGCACCGATGGTGGCTGTTTGTCTATTTCCAGGGTTAGTAACATTCAGGGAAGATTTTGTGAACTCAGCTTTATCTAGAAACGTGACTGGTTTACAGTTAAACGTACACTACGAAGTCATCAACATTTGACAGTAAGAGCGAGAACAGCACTTAGTATTTACTAACTTCATACTCTGTTCTAAGCACGTTCTGTACTTTTTCCTCCAGGTAATTCTCTGCACACCCTTGGAAGGTAACTATGAGTTGTGCTTTGCATACAAATAATAATTAGGAATGGGAGTAAATGAAAAATCCAGAATTCAAACTCACTCTCCATAGGATTCCAAATCCTGCATTTTCAGAATTATGCTATGTTTAATCTGGAAATGTTTTTTAAGAAGAATTTATAAAATCACAAGGGAGTTGAATCAATCTGACATCAGCACCAAATTGCATTTGCCTGGCCAATGTCTGTTTGGTGTTGCAATTTTATTCATAACTTTGCATTAGTTTGATGAACATGAAACTCAATTCTTTGATCAAAGGTGCTTTGGTGGGGGTATAAGGGGATGCATGTGAAATTCAGATATAGGCTAAGAGTAATTAATTTGCTGTCCTCAGTTATTTATTTATGTATTTATGTATCTAATTATTTATTTTAAGTAGGCTCCATGCCCAATGTGGAGCCCAACAGAGGGGCCTGAACTCAAACTCACGACCCTGAGATCAAGACCTTAACTGCAATCAGGAGTTGGATGTCCAACCAACAGAGCCACCCAAGCGCCCCCACCTTGAAAGTAATTTATTTATAAAGGCTTATAACTCTTTAAAACTTGATAGGAAAATATACAAATAATTTGTACTCCCATAGGTCTTTTGAATAGATCTTTTTTTAAATTTTTTTAATTTTTATTTTTTTATTCGTGATAGAGAGAGAGAGAGAGACAGACAGAGAGACAGAGACACAGGCAGAGGGAGAAGCAGGCTCCATGCTGGGAGCCCAACTCGGGACTCGATCCCGGGACTCCAGGATCGTGCCCTGGGCCAAATGCAGGCACCAAACCGCTGAGCCACCCAGGGATCCCCCAAATAGGTCTTAAGATAATAGCATACAGGGATCCCTGGGTGGCGCAGCGGTTTGGCGCCTGCCTTTGGCCCAGGGCGCGATCCTGGAGACCCGGGATCGAATCCCACGTCCGGCTCCCGGTGCGTGGAGCCTGCTTCTCCTTCTGCCTGTGTCTCTGCCTCTCTCTCTCTCTGTGACTATCATAAATAAATAAAAATTTTAAAAAAAAAGTTTAAAAAAAAAAAGATAATAGCATACATTAGGAAATAATACAATAGCTGAGGGAACCCCTAAGATTTCTTAAATTTCAATGTGGAAACAACAGGTTTAAGTGTGTGAATGTGGGCCATCAGGACAGAAGTGGCAGGTGAGGGCAGTGCCACCATGCTAGAAGTATGCATTTCAGAAGAAAGAAAAGTGAATGGTTCTTCAGCTGTAATTGGGGGCAGTTGCAAATTGTTTTTCAAAATACCATTGGTAATCGTGCAATCCGACACAATATATAATACTATAGAGGACATTTATGATATAATCTAAGAATGGGATTTCTGTCTTGCAATTCCTGGTTCTAATTTCCTTTTCTCGGTTCTAGGGGTAGGAATATGTATACAGTTCCAACAGTAAAGTTCTGTTTTGAGGAATGCTCACATTCTGTGTACTTCTGGGTTGTAAAAAGTAGAGTTACGCCTTTGCTTTTGGGGAATACTGCTCTGTAATTCCAGAAAGTTGCATGTAATGCATGGGCCAGACTGTGCACTTCCTATTTTGCCTCCTACTTTGCTTTTGCACCAATTTTTCAAATTAAAGTGGTTTTTGAACAGCAAGTCGCATCCTGGTCCTGGTAACCCCATCATGGGCAGGACTCTGTCCCCTCTTGTAGACAATGGGGTATCACAGATTGGAGACCGTCCTGAAATATCCACATTCTCTTTGCAATCGGCTTCATGCAACTGGAATGGATCCATTTTTATTCTGGTTCCTTAAATGCTATTTCAGCCATATTTCCTTCTCAGATTTTTCACTTAAAGGCCTAGTAAGTAATGAAAGCAGTTTTTATAAATATCAGGTAGTAACTCTGGATGAAAGTGTTCAGGACTCTGGACCTTCCACGGCATAATAACAACCTCTCCGGCCAGGTTTCAACACATCATCAATTCTTATGCACTAACTCCAAGACTTTTAAAATGCAATGGAAGATTCCTCATCTGCACCTTAAACATCTTCTAAAATTTTAGTGCTGGGGATTTGATATATCAGAAAGCAATTAGGGAAAGTTTTTTTTTTTTCTTAAAAATTTTATTTATTCAGGAGAGACACAGAGAGAGAGGCAGAGACATAGGCAGAGAAAGAAACAGGCTCCCTGCAGGAGCCTGATGCAGGACTTGATCCCAGGACCCCGAGATCAGGACCTGAGCCAAAGGGAGATGTTAAACTACTGAGCCACCCAGGTGTCCTAATCAGGGAAAGATTTCTGAGCAGAAAAAGAAAGGTGAGGCCTTTACTGTTGACTTGGAGGGAATGACTGCCATGTACTGAAGCCAAGAGCTTTTTAAATGTGAACTCAGAGGCTAAAGACAAAAGGGAGAGGAGACAGGTACATGATGGTGCGGCATGAAGAGCTTTCTTGCCAGAAGAGATGTATCAGAATAAAACAGGCTCTCCTGGGAGATCCTGAGAGCTTGTGCCAATGCACTGTGAGGAGGCTTCTCAGTAAGACAGTGTCAGAAGTGAATGGCTCTGAGATACTTTCTAACACCCTTTTAGACTGTTCTGAGGAAGGGAGTCTGAGAAAGTTGGATGGTTTTCAGTGGCACAAAGCTAAAGAAACCAGATGATTAATTTTTAAAAGTACTAACGGATTTTCAAACAAAAGCACACAATGACAATAAATACAGCTGTCTTTTTTTCATGAAAACTACCGTATGAAGAAGGTCAGGAGTCTTTTCTTATGATGGCTTCACTTTCTCCTCTCAAGAGAAGTATTAGGTAATTGCTTTGCTAGGTGTCACTCAATGGTACAGATGGTTATATGATGCTGAACAATAAATTGAGAAGGAAACAATGCAATGTGTAAGTCGATAAACTCATGGGTGAACTATGTTCACCCACACCCCTCCCCGAGGGCAGGGACTCTTGTGTCTGGACAGCAATGTTTGCCAGGTGACCCTGCTCATGAAGGACTTCTCAAAGGATCCCTCCACCTGTGTGCTCACCTCCACTCTGCAAATGACCACTGACTGTACAGAATGTTTGCTTGACAGCTGCCCATCATACAGCTAATAGGGAATATTCTCAAGTTATAGTCTACAGAAGCAACAGACTAAGGGATAAAAATGGCCTAAAGAAGAATGTCATTTTTACTGAATATCAGGATCATGATATTCTCTCTTTTCCCCAAACCATATTCTCACTTGCTATTTGTTTCCTGGGGAAAACTTCAAGATGTGTTTGGGAAATATTTTACAAATAAAATAACAAGTACAGAGAATTTATAGTAGCAAACAAATGGAGTTCAGGTCTCCACAGCCGGACCAGCACTGTTTTCACTGGGAACTCTGGCAGCTGGAGCTCCCCTGGAGGATGCGGGAAGTGGTCGCCACCTGAACAGGTGTGCATCTCTGGAGTCACTGAGGCAGGGTGTTCCAGATGGAGAGGTCCTGGCAGTGGTCCTGCTGAGCCTTTCATTTTAAAGTGGACATCAGGGCCTCGAATGATCGCAGTTGATGGCAACCTGGCTTCCAGGCTGTTGTTTTAATAATGTGCCATGTTATTCGGAAGGCATCATTCACTCCTAACATCCTTCCTGCCACTCCTCCCGCCCCCAAGTCATCTCATTTCAGGACTGCACTTTGGAAGATTTCCCTTGTAATTGCACACAGTGGGCTGTCATGAGCCACCCCACCTGCCCTCCAGGCTGACTTCTGGGTCTTCTCTGCATGCCTATCCTTGGGACACACAGGCCTATTTGAAGCTGTGAATAAGGACAGCAAAGAGAGAGGAGAGGAGGGGCAATCCAAGGGAGCCTGGTCTACAGAACTCATCTCATAACTCACAATG